TCTGTACTGTGACAGGATCATTTTATCAGAAAAACATGTCCCTTCTTGTCCTAGCCCCTCACATCAGTTCCTTGGGTGTCAAGACGACATAAGGCGATTATCAAACAGTGACACAACCTGTTTGTTAACTGTGAGGCAACAGTCACTTCCCAGAACTTTAGCCAGTCATTGTTGCATAAAAGTGTTGACAAATGACAAAAGGTCAGTGCAAATCTCCACCAGGTGTGTCTTCCTCTGCCTTTCAAAACAAAGAAGAGATGAATCTCACTTTATAGTGACTCCCGGCTCCCTTAAAGACACAATGGCAGCAGAGATAACAACAACTGGATGTATTTATCTTGGCTTTACTTTAGTTGATCATAACATTTTTGGTATATAATTAAACTGCACATGCTTCAGTTCAAAATAAGACAGAACCTTTCTATGGATTTGAGATTTTAGGCCTGACCTTTTGGCCAGAGGGAATGCTAGAAGTGTCATTATGCAGAAGCAGCTGTTGATCACTTGAGTCTTTTACCGGACCTTTAAGAGTAGTGAGGAGTCATCAATCAATAACGGTATAAAACAATCAATGACAAAGCTTGATTCAAAAATGTATATAACCACAACAACAAGAGGACCTTGAAAATACAGTCATACATTTGCACAAAAACTATAAGCTTAGTAGTTTGCAAGATTTGCTGCAGACAGATACTCTACAACTTATGAGTATAATACGTTTATAAGTTTTTTTTTAGTGAATGCATAGAAGTGGCCAGTGCTTGTAGCATTATTAAGGTCAGAGTTCTTAGTCCACACTGCATTTGGATACAGTGGCTGCTGATAGAAGTAGGTTAATCTCAGAGTTTAATGACTCTGGTTACAGGATTGTCCTCCAAATTGTTCCGATAATAGCCGACGTTGTATTTTAAGCCAAGCCTGAAGTATCCTGCAGCCTCAAAATACAACCTGCATGTGTGAGTGGGGATTACAGGCCGTTCAGTCTATCAGTGTCCATGTACTTAGTGTAGTGTGGTGCAGGAGATGTAGGTCGGCCGGTCTATGAACTCAATCCTGCACAGACACAAACCGCTGACTGATAATATTCACAGCAGCAGACAAACTGACACACATGCAAAAACAGACGGACTGACATAACTGAGCTGCAGGCACTGTATAAAACAAAGGTGGAACAGCATCAGAACAGTATTTTCTTTAAAGCATTTTATCTGTATTTTATGCAATTTACAGGAAAGATTAGCCTGTCAGTTTAATTTAGGAATTAATAGTAATACAATGGTGACATTATTAAACAAAAACATATGAACACTTTTAACAAAATCTCTAAATAAATGCATTTACTTTTTATTATAAACACTAAAGATTACTGAGAGCTTGTTAGGCAGGGAATGTTTTACTTTTAAGGGAAATCATGATTGCACATAACATTTTTAAGAACATCTGATTTATTTGGATGAAAAAACACTTACTGTATATGAAGCTCAGCGCAAGTTCTTTCAGGAAGACTGGGTATGTATACATTCACTCCGCAGCTGCATATAATCAGCTCATCACGGGCGTTGTCTATAACCCATTACATTCACCTCATTCTCCAGCAGCCAATCACTGTGCTGCAGCCAAACTTTAAAATGGTTCTCCTCTCTCCTGCAGTCAGCTGTGATTTCAGGCGTTCATGTTGCCGCCCGCCTCCTCCCCATCCACTTCCTTTCATCACATCCAGTGCCAGGAGAGTTAATCCAAAGACTTCATCATCACACCTCCTCCTCATCAAATCCAGATCTGCAGCATCATCACCCGTGTCTAGACCCCGAGGGGTTCCCTATATGCTCACGGCTGCATTTCCCCCTTTAGATATACGATTTCAGGATCGGGGTCTAATCGCCAAAGACTTAACATTTATCATATGACATGTGTCAATAAATGTTCTTTAAACAAAATGAAGTCTCTCCTGATTGAAATCACCAATATATTTGACCCATATCTGAAAATCAGGGCATTATGAAACACACAGTGTCCCTTCACACCTTGTGAACATAAATAGGCCATCAAAGCCACCTCCCACACTTTTATCAAGTGCTGTAAGAAATACTCGTATACTTCTCATCCGTCTTACACCACTGTATGACGGATGGCGTTGTTGATTAGTAGCTTTTGGAACAGCTTCATCATTAGATTTGTCAGCTATTCCTCTCTTTAACAAGCATTCAGAATCAGAATACCTTTATTCGTCCCAGAGGGGAAATGTACGTTGTTACAGCAGAGCCAAAGACAGCTTAATGTTACTTAGAAGCATGCATAAAAAAGTATTAAAGTTATTTTATTAGAGAAAAGTGATTCAAGAGGTAAAAAGTCTTTATGTTATTATGGCAAACAAACATTCAATCTTGCTTTATATATTACAGTTCATTTTGTTCAGGTTTGAGTTGCACGCATACAAGAAAATTAGTAGAAAAATGTCCTGGATGATTCTTTAATTTGCACACCCTCATGTTTCATTAGCATATGGACAAAGTGTTCAGACTCGGATCACATGACTTCGGTTAAAGTGGATACCCAGTAAGAGAGGGTCTCACTTGAATGCATTTGTATTTTGGCACAATGGAGGCTCTGTATCTGTCTCAAATCTCACAACAACAACCACTGGATACAACAATGCTAATATGTACAGTTAACAAGAATGCAAGAAAATGATTGATCCAGTCTGATTTTACAGATTTATTTTTAAATCTATGAGTCTTTTTGTCATGGTTATAAGGTATTCCTGTGGTGCAGTCAGCTGGATAACTATTATATCGTTTTACACTCTGGCAGCAGTCAAGTATGTTGGATGCCAACGCGATCAGATCGTAGCACCATGACAGGAGGATTATTATTATCTTTCATGATATCACAGTAGGTATGATTTAAAATGAGTTGTGCTATTTACAGAACTCCACTAAATCTAAAGTAGAAAAGAGAGGTTTATTAAATATCGGGATATCAATCCTGGATTTTGAGGATGTTCCTCTTCTCCAGATCATTCATCTCCTTGAGAATCAGAGCCACGTTGTAACGGAGCTCCTGGAATTTGGACAATGGCACCTGGACGAGAAAAAAACAAGATGAATCACTGATGAGGTAACAGAAGAACAAAGTGTCCCATTTGAAAACTGCATAGCCAAGGTGGGGGGGATCAGAATCAGAATTTTGTATGACAGTATTTCAATTTTAGAATATAATAAAAAAGGATTCAAATAAATAAACAAAACAATATTTTTTATAATTATAAATACTTAGTTATAGGTCTAATAAAAATAAAACTGAATTCAAATATTTAAAGTGGACCTATTATGCTATATTGGAAACCTATATTGTAGGGCCATACCTATATAAAACATGTCAGTGAAGTTTTTTGCTTAAAATACCAAACAGATCACCCATTGTAGCCATGCCTCATACTGCTCATACCCCTCTTTTGCAGCCCTGTTAGAGAAACGCGGATTTTGGGTACTTAGCTTGAAAAAGAAAAAAGAGGAGGCGGAGCTAATGCCAGAAATTAATTTAACTTCTGTTAGACAGCTATCATACTGAATAAATATTTACTGTGAATGTATGCAAAAATGTATGGCATATGGCTGTCTAACAGAAGTTAAATTCATTTCTCACTTATTCGGACAATGTACTTAACCCCAAATAAAAGAACCCAATAAAAAGAGTTGTTAAATAATAGTGAAGTCACGTTGTAATAACAATAACTCATCTCTCTCTCTTTTCCTTTTTGAGCTTTGCTAAAAGCCACTGTGTCAAGTGTCCATCTTGGGTTGCCGTCCGGAGTTGTCCAATATGGCGGGTTATGGCTAGAAAGGATCCGTCTAGTGTAAAACCCTTGCGAGAGTTTGCAAGTCACGTGGCTGAATGTTTACGTTTGGCAGGCAGCCTTTCAGTTACGATCATTAACATCAGTGGGCCACAGCAAATTATCGTGAGAAGCTAAACTATCTATTAATTATGTCAATGACAGGGAGTGTGATTGTTGAAATAGGGTGTTAGTGGTCTTGCAGTTCAAAGAAGAATGACAACACTGTAGATCACCAACACTGCGGTTTATTTTTTATTCACAGACAAGTCAACGTTGTCATAGTAAAAGTCCCAAGATAGCTCCTGGTGCAATAAAATGTTCCCTTTCAGTGTTTTACTATTATCCTGCTGCATGAATGTGTATGTTGCATCATGTTACTGCTGTAGATGTTTTTTCCGAGCCGCTCCAACGAGAGTTACAACGAGAACGTGACGTCATATTTACACTAGACGGATCCTTTCTTTCCATAACCCGGTTGGAGCTAAACGGAGCTGTCTCGTGTGGACAGACACTATCCGGTGAACATTGCGTGTGGACGGAAGCTTTTTTGCGATTGCGTTTGCGTTAATCCTATGCGTTTAGCCGTATGCGTCCTCGTGTGGCCGGGGCCTAAGACAGATCACAAACTACAAGCCAAAATCCTCCCCCTCCATGAACGACTGACACCTTGCAAACGATCTGAATCAGTTCTACTGCAGATTTGAAGACAGTGAGTTCAGTCCTGACACCATCCCCCATGACACCTCGCAACAGCTTCACACNAAAACTGTTGCTTGAGAATGTCTTCCACAAGCAACACTCCAATGGCTGATAGCTCCAGTACCGCACGAAACATGTTTTCGATAGACGAGAGTGAAAATGGAACGCACACGCTATTTGTTGTTTGTTTATATCACGTAGTCTGTTCTTCTTCTCTGTCTTCCGGTTGTTGCCTCTTTTGAATGACGAATACACACTATCGCCGCCTGCTGGTAAGTAGAGTTGTTGCCGCTCACGCATGCGTATTTCGTACGTGCTCGGCTGAAGTCTTTGCGGTGTGTTCCAGTGCGACACATGGCCAAGACGCAGGAGAACATCAGCGTCAGCGAGTTCTCTGGTGACTGCTTGGTGTGTCAGGGCCTTAAGACAGATCACAAACTACAAGCCAAAAGCCTCCCTCTCCATGAACGACCGACGCCTTGCAAACGATCTGAATCAGTTCTACTGCAGATTTGAAGACAAAGAGTTCAGTCCTGACACCATCCCCCATAACACCTCGCAACAGCTTCAGTCTCACACCTCCACATCCCCCTCCCCTTCAGTATCTCACTCCCCCACACCGCTGACCTCCCCCGACACATCAGACTCTCTCTCAATCGATGAAAGGGATGTAAACAGACTATTCAGAAAACTCAATACCAGAAAAGCGGCTGGCCCTGACAATGTCTCCCCCTCCACCCTGAAGCTCTGTGGTGATCAGCTGTCTCCTGTGTTTACTGACATCTTTAACACCTCACTGGAGACATGCCACGTCCCAGCATGCTTCAAAACCTCCACGATCATCCCGGTTCCCAAGAAAACAAGGATCACAGGACTAAATGACTACAGACCCGTCGCCCTGACCTCTGTGGTTATGAAGTCCTTTGAGCGCCTTGTCCTGTCCCACCTGAAATCCATCACAGACCCACTCCTGGACCCCCTGCAGTTTGCCTACAGAGCCAACAGGTCTGTGGACGACTGTCAACATGGCCCTTCACTTCCTCCTCCAGCACCTGGACACACCAGGGCCCTTTCTCATTTCTCTAACTCCCCTCATCGACTCCCCTCCTCGACTCCTATCCTCGAGACTTAGTCCCGCCCACAGGAGATGCGAGCCGAGGAACCGAGGAGGGGAACCGAGGAGAGAGGAGGGGAAGCAGCAGGCGGTTAGAGAAATGATAACTCCTCTCCTCTGCGCGGTCATATTAAAGCGACGTCCGTTAATTATGACGTGGCAACAGCTGCATCAGCTGTGAGTGTTTTGTTAGAGCGCTGTATTTTGTAATCTCTGTTAGATCAGCTGAACATTGTTCCTCCACATATTTACTTTTAATTCCATTTGCAACAAGTATGACACGAATGTATGAGCATTTTCGACACATACTAGCATCTCTTCTGTATTGGGCAGCACTAAAACATTATTATAAAAAGTACCCTACAAATAAAGGCAGACACATAGGCTACATGAGGCTTATGTACGTTTCATATATTCACACATGCACACATACAAACACACAAAAAAGATATATACACTATACTATAGGCTATGTTAACCTTTTTAAACTAGTAGGCTAAATGACATGATAAATCATCAACTCACACCTCTTTCACAAAACACCTGCAACGAATTTCTAATCCAAGTAATTAACTAATCATGAGGGACCTGACAGGCTATATAAAGTCCAGGCACACCTGTGATTTAAATCTCAACAACGAAAAACATATTCAGTGACCGTCTTAGTTGTGTGTTTTATTTCATTTTGTGTTATTCCACCTTCCGCATGTCTCGAGAAACATATTCCATGAGAAAAAATCCCTTGGCGCCCAGCAGAAGACTCGCCTTTTAATGCTTCACAAACCCATCTTAAATGGGAAGGTAGCGTATGTCGACGTCGACATACCTTCGCTTTCTCGAAGGCTAAATACATCATGACCGTGAGCCCAGCCCACCCAGAAATAAGGATTACACCCGGTGGGTAGTTAGTCGTGGCGTGTGTACTGATTTTACGGCCCGCGATAGCCGGTTAGCGACTTCGGGACGGGCTAGAGGAGGTCGAGAGCCTGCGTCGTTCGTCGGCGAGAGTGTCTGACGGACTCCTCGTCCGCTACAGGAGCTGAGGGAGCGCCCGACTGGGCCAGACACTGGCACTCTCCATGGACTTTCCGGGCCCTGTTCGGTGTCGACATACTGTGTTGGCACACGGTCGGTCATGGTGGGTCAACACAGTTATGTCATACACCTACAGGGGTCCGGAGCAGAGGCAGGTCCGGGGTCTGTGACGTAGTTCCCGAGGTCCCTCAGAGTCCGAGTAGGGACTTCAGGAAGTCGTCCGGTGGGTAGGGAGGGGCTTTCATGTGCGAGGCCGTGGCCCTTGTGATCTGTATTCCGACAAGTTTGAAACATACTCGACACCCACACTTGACGTCTTCTTATTTTATATGTCAGTATGGAAATAGGTAGTATTGTTTAATTAGGTAACAACATAAAGGTTACTTCTGTCGATAAAATTTGATAAATTTTGTTACATTAGCTCGTGGGTTATGGAGTCTCTCTTCGTCCTACCGAAACGCTAGAGCGAAAGGTCGCCGAACCTAGCCGCAGAGAGACTAAGGACTAACACCAGTCTTCACAACGGTGAACGTATTCGCGTGTACGATGTCGGCCCAAGTACTGAGTANGAGGGGAAGCAGCAGGCGGTTAGAGAAATGAGAGCTCCTCTCCTCTGAGCGGTCATTTTAAAGAGACGTCCATTAATGTTGACAGGAGGCACAGCAGCCCTCTGTCTGATGGACAGATGTGTTCATGACCACCTATATTTACTTTTAATTCATTCACAGTGCGGTATAATGAGACAATAACAGGCTACAGATGCGGAAACAAACACACACACACACATATATATATGTATATATTTATATATATACAATTTCAGAATCAAACAGAGCACTCTCATAATAACGTAACACTATCAGAGACTGGATATATCCCCCCTCTAGTCGCTACAATGAGGGAAATAAATTACGGGCCAAAAGTTGCAGGTTGATCAACCGGCATGGATTGATGGGGGGTGGGCTATGAGTAGGCGAGAGGAGAAGAGAGGAGTTTTGAAAAGGGACTGGAATACTGTGAGGGTCTCAGAATAGCGGAGATCTTTGCAACAATATGTTCAAAACGTTTTTTTCCAAAATGTAAAAAAAATGTCTAGTGAAAGATTCAATATAAAATATTTCTAGTGTGAACCAAAATATAATACTAAACATTATACAAGTGATTTTTCTTAACCAAAATGACAAAAATGGTATAAAAACACATATTATTCTAATACGGGTCCTTTTAGACCCACTTATGATAGAGTGTATGGTCCAGTCACTCCAAGGGCATCGAAGGGTTAAGTACGTCTCTCAGTGTGAAGTCATTAGCTTTAACTCCAGGTCATGTACATACTGGAAACCATTGACACTTCACATGTTTTCTTTCTTGTTAGCATAAAAAGTCAGCCACACTGAGGAGCTGTTTAGGTGTATTTTGTTTGAGTATAAATATACATATTCTAGTATATATTTTTTAAAGTACAACATCAAAACAACCACAATGTCCTGGAGTTATTTCCACCATTGTTGCTGATGTGTCCGCTGTCATCCAAAAGTTAGCAAGATGGCAACAAACAGAAAACTACATTTAAAACAATTAAAGCAGACATTAACAAAAATAATCTGGTCAGGGTATTTGTATATTGTTGTTGCACTGTTACTAATAATATGAATAACATTTGATCATGTTATTCTTGTTATGCAAATATCCCTTCATTAGGGAACATTTACTGAATGAGTTGTTGCTCAGTGTTTGTTGCCAGAAAAACTGAATTACACCAACATTCCAAACATTTTTGCTCGTGTCTCCCCATAAAAAGTTCTTATTCTATTTTTCCATATTTCCACAATCAGAACTACTTTATAATGAAAAAGTAGTCCCGATGAAAGCTGTGTGCAATTAGTATTATTTTATATGTGATTTCCCCAGAGTAACTAGGAATTTGTAACATTTGTAAAATTATATTTTTGAGTGTTATTAGCACTCAAATCAACATTGTATTCACTTTTATTAGAACTTTAGTGAAATCTTCAAAAACCTGGACAAATAAAACCAAAATGATCTGTGTGCCTAAATGTCAGAAAGTGAGAACATTATATTTTCCCTCTTTAAGTGAAAGGACCCTTAAAGTATGTTTTGAAGCTGTGCTGAAAAGTGTGAGACAATGTGATTCATCCAAAGAAACAAAAAGCATATTCAGGAACTCTTCACATTGACTAGAGTTCTTGTTACTGATGTGTTACTGTAGTCATGTTAGCCAACACAATAAAGCAGTCAGTGGATGAAGTGCAGCCAGCAGTAAAGGTCAAAGGTCAGAGCCTCAGTGGGAAGTGTGCAGAAGTCGTTCAGTTACTGCCAGCTTTCGTCGTTTTTTCGGTTTCTGACTTCGACATGTAACGCTGACCTCTCTCCTCCTCCTCCTCTCCTCTCCACTCCTCCTCCTCTCCTCTCCTCCTCTCCCCTCCTCTCCCCTCCTCTCCTCTCCTCTCTCACAGCGAGTTGTTTGTCCTCTGCTGAGAGTGTGTTCCCAGGTGTGTTGCATTCAGCTCATTAAAGAGGAGACTCACTCTTCCTTTGAGCCACATCCTCAGTGGAGCCACAGACCCTAGGCTCCCTGTCTCCCCCTGCTGGACTGGAGCCAGATGTTGAGTCGCACAGAATTATATTATATAGCAATATGTCTGCAATGTCAGAATAGAATTTCTAAAAATATTAAAGTCATAGTATAGTTTGTCAAAAGGATCTTGACCTTGAGTGTTGAAATGGTTTTGAATAAACACACCTGTCCCCCCTCACATCCTCGTCCCCCCTCACATCCTTCTCCCCCTCGTCCCCCATCACATCCTTCTCCCCCTCGTCCCCCCTCGTCCTAGTCCCCCCATCACATCCTTCTTATCGGATCTGCAAAAACTTGATATCATATGAAAGCTGTGATTCCAGAGGTATAAGTATCATCACTGGGCGACCAAAACTCAGGCAGTGAAGGCAAAACCAGACAACACACAACTTCACTTTACGGAGCCAAACTTCCGAACCTCCCCTCGATTCTATTGGCTCTAATGGTTCAAAAGAGATGTCAATCATCAACATCGACCGAGGGGGGCCAGAGATAGGGGAAATCCACCCAAATGAACCCAGAAGTGTTTTTTGTTTTTGCTAAACCTCTCTTTAAAAAAGGTCATATGTCACTTGTTTTGCATCAATCTTGATACAGGGTACTTATTATATGTTATAGTTTGGATTCCTAAAGCTTTTATTCTACTATCCCATCATTCAACGGTGGTTTTTACTATAAGTAATGTTTTATTTTTGGACGGACACAATCAATTAATTTTTTTTAGCCATGTAAAACTTTTGTTTTAATTATATAACCCAATATGGAAACCTCCTCAGTCTCTGGTTGTACATTTAGCCAGTTCTGGGGCCTCATTTATAGGGATGTAACGATACCCAAAACTCACGGAACGATAATATCGCGATAAAAAGTCCACGGTACGATATTTATCGCGATATTGAAAAATAAAGGAAAACAATGTGAACTTTTTTTTTTTTTTTTACTTGATTTTTAATCTTTATTAAATAATAAATCTCATTTGTACAGCCNATTTAACTTTTTAATGCTATTTTATTTCTATTTCAGAAATACTTTGGACTGTTTATTTCTAGTATCTTAATTTCTCTTTGGTTTCTTATCTTATTGCCTTTTGATGCTGCTGCAACGCAAACATTTCCCAAATTGGGATCAATAAAGTACTAATCTCTCTATCTATCCATCTATCTATCTATCTATCCATCTATCTATCTATCTATCTCTCTCTCTCTCTCTATCCATCCATCCATCCATCCCCCTCTCTCTCTCTCTCTCTCTCTCTCTCTCTCTCTCTCTCTCTCTCTCTCTCTCTCTCTCTCTCTCTATCTATCTATCTATCTATCTATCTATCTATATTATCTAACCACCTATCTCCTCTTCCTCAGGTCTGGTTTAAGAACCGGCGGGCCAAGTGTCGTCAGCAGCTGCAGAGCAGCAACAACTCCAAGGCGAAACCACTGAAGAAGAAGTCGTCTCCGACCAGAGAGAGCACGGGATCTGAGAGCAGCGGCCAATTCACTCCTCCAGCCATCTCAACCTCCGCCCCTTCCTCTTCCTCCTCGTCTTCCTCCACCTCTACCTCCGCCCCGGTGTCGTCCATCTGGAGCCCCGCCCCCATCTCTCCCTCCCCAGCTCCTCCTTCTCTCCCCGACCCCACCTCCACGCCCACCAGCGCCTCCTGCATGCAGCGCTCAGCTTCGTCCACCGGGGGCAGCAGCAACACGCCCTCGTACCCGGTGTCCTACAGCCAGACGGCAGCAGCGTACAGCCAGGGCTACCCCACCTCGGCGTCAGGCTCTTATTTTGGCGGGGTTGAGTGTGGTTCCTACTTGGCGCCCATGCACTCCCACCACCACCCGCACCATCAACTCAGCCCCATGGCAGGCGGCTCCATGTCAGGACACCCGTCTCACCACCATCACATCGGGCAGACGTCAGGGCACCACCACCATCACCACCACCCGTCTCACCCTCACCACCAGGCCTACAGCGCGCCTAGCATCGCTTTCAACTCCACAGATTGTCTGGATTACAAAGAGCAAACAGCGGCGGCGTCTGCGTGGAAACTCAACTTCAACACCTCTGATTGTTTGGACTACAAAGACCAGGCGTCATGGCGCTTCCAGGTGCTGTGACCTCCTCCTCTTCTTCTTCTACTTCTTCTTCTTCTTCTCTGCTTACAAAGAAGTATTGTTTTTGTTGTTGGTTGGTTTATTTTTTTTTGAAGATCTAATAGTAAAAGAGACATTTTAAGAAAGTTTATTTGTGAACGAACTGAAACGGAGCACAGGTATCTGAAGCCTCGGGTTTTTCATCAGCGGATCGACTCGTCCCGGATTATTTTTCTACTCCAGAACTCGAGAAAAAACGACTCTTGAAGGCCTTTCGTAGTAAAATGTCAGTGGAACCTGCGAGATTGTGCAGTCTCGGATCGTCTCGATGATCAATCAATAACTTTGGGATTATTCGTCGAAGAAATAACGTGACAAAATCGTAAATTAGACTCTTGAGTGGGCTTTTCCTAAAGAACGTTTTTTTCCAAACTCGATGCTGCTATGATTTTCAGGTTGCTGATGTTCATTTCTATCTGATTTCCAACTCTCATCTTTGTTCAGAAACTCGTCGTCCAGCCTGTGTTGTATTTTGGAGATTGAATTGCAGCACTTGTTTATAAGGTGAAAGATTTTTGCTATCTGTTCTTCACGGAGGAAAGAAAATAAAAAATGTGAAATTAGACGCAATGTCAGTATTCCATTGAAATTTGAAAATATGTACATTCATGTCTTTATAATAAAGTCTTGTTAAAACTTGAGCAGTCCACGGAAACGTTTATTTCTACGATGAACGATTGGAGTTTGTTTCGTCAACAGAGCCGTTCCTAACGATCACTGCGCCTTCAAAACGAGTCTGGAACTGAACTGGTTTAACAGGTTAAAGTATAAACAGTGGCACATTAACAACCGTTGGATTGTTATTGATTATTAAAGCAGCTCCGACCTGCAGGATTTAACCTCCTGTTTGGCCGTGAGTTAACCACAAAATGCAGAAGCCATTGGGGATTAGTTACGCTTTGATTCATAAATAAATGATTGTTGTTTTTAACCTGTATGTATTCACTTGGAGCTTTATTTGTCATTTACGCTGGCATTACACGCATAGTTGCACATTCACACCTGGAAGCTGCCCAGAACAAACACTATCTGATTTTTTAGCAGTCGAGGGATTAAATGCTGAATTTATACTCTGATTTTACTCCAAATTAATTCCTTTCAAAGGAATTTCCACAATCCAAAGTACATTTATGCGAGTCCCTCAATTCAAGTTTAACTTTTGTGAACTTTGACATGCATGACCAAAAGTTAACTGTCTTTATTGTACTTATGTGTTACATAAGGGCATCGGTCACGAGGACGTCCTACACCAACATACGTGGACGTACTCAAGAATGACGCAGGGGCACAAAGTACCAATGAACTGGCCAGATGTATGGAGAACCGGGATGACTGGAAGCGACGATGGAGGGCTCGTCTGAGGACGACTTAGAGATGTGTGGAGAGAATCCAAAATTAGGGACGCTATAGCCTCTTATTAGCTGAGTGTTATATGTTATTTAGCATCGATTGTCGGTACAAACTGCACCACAACAGAGACATGGTTAACAGACAGTTAAGTGACAGGAGTCAGTGATAAACAGCCACCAATAGCCGCTTTCACACCAAGTACTTTGCCGTACTTAGTTCCCAGTACTTAGTACCCCCATGGAACAAAGAGCCGATCGCGTTCACACCGGAATAAGTTCCCTGAGGGAAGATTAGGCAAATGAAGCCGATGACTTCACTTCTTCTGCTTTGGGTTTACTGGCAGACCGCAAACCACTTCACGGCTTATACTGCCACCCGAAGTCCCCGGCCGGAAGTCCCCGGAGTTGGGGACCTTCCGAGTAAATCGCCAGAACGCCGAGACCTCCTCATCACTCCACCGCTCCCATGTTTTTTTTTGTGTTGCCATAAGTTATTCTCTCTCCGTTGGTGTGCGGGGCTAATGCTAATACTAATAATGCTAATGCCAGCAAATTTTACGGGGCGTGGTTTCAATTCGCCCAGCCAATAAAAATTGGTACTTTTTTCTCCCCAGAATAGTACCACCTCTCTAGCAGGCACTAAAAATGGGGGTAGAAGTTCTCGGAACTAAGTTCTCTTTTTGGTGTGAACGCAACATTTCAGGCACGAACTAAACGGGAAAACTACTCCGGTGTGAACGCGCCTATTGTAACAAACTTCTCTCCCCGACCTTTAATAAATTACGTTCCCATACAATAAATGTCAATTAATTCAGTTTTCAAAGAAAATGTTTTGTTCTAAAGTTCAATGTCTGTTTAGATTCAACAGAAATACGTTTATAACCCTAACCCTAACCCTAACGCTAACCCTAACCCTAACCTATCATATGTGGGTAACTTAAAAAACATGCAAAACAAGTTATTTCAAACCAAACAATGATCTTTTACTTGTTGCTTGTTTTGTTTGGTTTCAATTTCTAACATTAAAAACTTGTTTAGAATGGCAACTGTAATGCAGAAGAAAACAAGTTTACCTTGAAACGAAATTGAGGATGCGGTTTTGTTGTATGGCAACTCATTAAGTAGGAAACCGGGTTCAATTCAGGGCAAAAAAGTGATTTTCCGTTAGCTAGCCGCTAAATCACCAGCTAACCAAGTAGCTCTTTAAACTAAACACAAACCATGCCTATTTCTATTGTTACGTTGTTACTTTAAAAGCTTTCAAGCTGTACCTTCCCCATATAATGCAACAGTTGGCCAACATAAGTACAGAAAAGGTACATACGATACACGTAACAAATTCAAATAAACAATAGTGCGAAAGAACATGCAATGAGGTATAACAAAAGAGAGTAAATATCATAGAAATAATAAGTGTTCCCTGATGAAGTCACACTGTGTTCAATTATTGTTTAGCTGCGGTAATATTAGTTTATGAGACTCCACCTTGAAAGTATGCCAAAAAAAACACAGCCTGCGATTTTAATTCACGGTATTTTAAAAGCTATTAGCTGTAGAGAACCTGCCGCGGCTCCCAGAGCGTGAAGTCAGTATAAACGTTATCTCAGGAACATCCCAACAGCGTGTCAACAATCAAACCCCCCACAGCTGGGCAGGTTAGCAAACATGTACACTGGCTTCCCCGGCTGTTTGTTTGGCCGTGTCGACAGTAATGTACAACTCATTTGATCCAAGGAAAAAAGGGACGAATCACGATTTTAATTAGCAGCCGTGCCTCTTCCTCGCGGCGTCCCTCCGGCAGCTGGGCAAACAGTTTTTGGGTAAACATGGCGTCCGGGACGTGTGTTTGCTGCTCTGCGTCCTGCTGAGATTCACCACCGCACCGCTGCCTCGTGCAAACACAAGCAGGGATTTATCACATTAGGACAAACTAATCTTCAGGCCATGTTTAGGCAATCTCTACTGCTTATTCTGGAGAAAGGACGCCCCCCTCTCCGAGCAGCTGTTCTGGATGTCTTATTATCCCGAAGCCTCTCCCCGGGGAACCGAGCCTTTATTCCCCGTCTTTGTAGTGACAAAGTGACTCGGCTTTTTGGCTTCGTATTCTTCCAGAAGGCCACTGACAGAAACACTTTGTCTTCTCCGGGGATCGCCTCTCTTCTCCTGACGAGTCCGCGCTTCAGAGGACTTCAAAAGTTCTCCTGAAGAAGCAGCGCTAACACTCCATGACAGAAGTCAGACATTTTTAACGCCTGGTACAACAAAATATTTTGCTAATTTCCCTATTCATGACGACTGTATGAGGGTTACTGGATGGCGTTGTGCCTAACATAACAATTAAAGTGTACATTTTTCGGCTTAGACTTTATAATAATGAGGGTAGATGTTGATGCACAATGTAATGGCTGCGTTTCGATTCGTTTCCCTGTAGACATAACTTTATTATGCAATTCTGCGGCCTCCAGGTACCAACTGGTAGGTAAATGAAGGCTGGACTTGCTTCACAAAGGCATAGAAACCAAAATGTAGTGTGTCCTTTGCAGTGTATGAAAGATGCGAGCACTACCACGAAAGTCACTTGAAGTCACCAGATGACATGTGGAAATTGGCGACGTCATCATCACACATTATTGGGCCTTAATCTTTGGTCCTTGTGTAGCAAAAACTCCTCATCCATCATGTTCTCATAGCGAGGAAGTGATTGCACGCTTCGTTCCGAACTCCAGAACAGTTGGAGGTATTTTGCATTTCTTAATAAAGTTGTCCAATTGTCACTGACACTGGAAACTAACCTAAAATGTATGTTTTATCGGCTTATTTTAAAGAATTCGATCACATAATTCCTTTAGATATAATTGCAGATCTGTTGGCTAGCTAACCAACGCATTTTTAAATATATTGACAAAACAGGAGGCGTGTGGCGCAGTGGGTTAGTGCACTGATCTTCAAATCAGAGGATAGCAAGTTCGAGTCCCACTGCAGTCAGCATGTCGTTGTGTCCCTGAGACACTTCACCCCAAATTGCTCCTGTGAGGATTGTCCACAGTATTGAGTATGTAAGTTGCTTTGTATAAAAGCGTCTACCAAGTGACATGTAATGTAAAAAACACTTACAATTATAAAACAGGCTAACGGTAACCACAGTGACAGCTTCGTGCATCACTTTTAACAGTCTCTGTGTTGTGTTTTGAGCTTCTTTCAGCTTTGAGTAAACGATGTGCATGTTTCCTCAAGTTAGGGAAGCTGTTTCTTAATTTGCATGTGTTTTGGCACATTGTTTTTTTTTATATTTGCATAGTTTTTGAAGCTGGAGAGCGGGTCATTGACACGTTTGCACCAATCGGCCACCTGTGTGACAAAATCCACCGTTAACCACATTTATAAAAATCGTCTTTGTAGGAAAACAAAGCGAGCCGAATGCCGTTGAACTCCTGGCAAACACCGTAACCACACAAAACTGACACTCAAGTGGGTGACTCATAATAATAATTACCCACTTTTGCTGCGACCTGCTGACGTACAAACACTTAATTACAGTAAGTGGCTGAATGACTGACAGGCAATGCAAATCCATTCCTGCACCCTGCAGACGAGAACAAATATATAAAATAAATTACGTATTTTAGCTTTCATTCAAGAAGCTTCATCAGAATGAGTAGGTAACAGATTCTCAAAGCACTTTTCACATGGTTTATAAAACAACCAGCAGCAGATATGAGTCAAGACTACATCTCTGCCAAAATGGAATATAATGCAAGAAGTCCTCTCTTTTTAATCCTGCAGCAGTTTCTTTGTTAAATGGTTTCATGCACACTGAATACAACAGTTACAATTTTAACATTGCATAAAATCTAAATGGCAGGAAGGTTTTTTATTTTATTTTATTTTTTTATGTAGATATATCTGCATATGTCGTTGCTTCTGTGAGTCAAACCAACACAGCGTGGCGGTGCATCAGTTCAGGTTAGAAGAAAAAAAAACTGGGTAAAAAGCCAAATGATGATTTCTGATTTCGTACACTTCCAGCATCTCTGTGTGTATAGTTTCATATGGAAATCCCTTTAGCACGGCGGGTAAATAGATTAGGATACAGTGAGGGATTAAGGACCGCCTCGCCGCTGGCCCACTAATCCCAACACAGACTGTCAACAGCCCTGACATGTCCGGGACTCCTTCTGCACAAAATGGCTCCTCGGCTGTTTAAGAAGCCAATCTAGAGACACACACACACACACACACACACACACACA